GCCTTTTATTATTATTATTATTATTATTATTATTATTAGAGACGGAGTCTCACTCTGTCCCCAGGCTGGAGTGCGGTGGTGCGATCTCAGCTCACTGCAAGCTCCGCCTCCCGGGTTCCCGCCATTCTCCTGCCTCAGCCTCCCGAGTAGCTGGGACCACAGGCGCCGCCACCGCGCCCGGCTAGTTTTTTATATTTTTAGTAGAGACGGGGTTTCACCGTGTTAGCCAGGATGGTCTCGATCTCCTGACCTCGTGATCCGCCCTCCTTTGAGGCCTTTTATAAAAGAAGTTTACTGGAAGGCCTCAGTATTACTTAATTCTGAATGAAGAGACAGGTTTTCTTCTCTGGGCAAAAGTTGATATTTACGCAAAGACATTAGCTGAGGGGTAGTTTGCCTATAGCTGCTATTGCCTCTGTAGTTGCTTGAATGCTGCTGACAAGGAGAGGTAAGAGACAAGGGAATGTTAGGCAACTTCCTAGTATGGCCAGAACAACGCCTGTTAAAGTCTTGAACCTTCCGTAAAATGAAAACTAGCCTCTAAAGAGAGAATCTGGAGGCTGCTTTTTCTAAGTTTGAACTAGAACATGGGCCATTGATTTAACTCTTGCAGCTATTTCCATAACGTCCTTTCTATTATCATCAATATCTAGGCAGCAATTTGTCAGGTTTAACTTTCCACATACTCCTTTTTCCTGGGCTAGGAGGCAGTCTACTTTGGTAAATGGCGTTTCTCATTTTTGTGGCTTGCTGGCACGGCAATGTGTTTGTCCACAACCATATACATGTCCACAGACATGTATTTGCTGTCTCATTAGTGATGATTTCAAGTACTGCCCGTAACTTTATGATGCGGTTAAGCATGTCAATAGGAGTACGGTACCTCCATGACCTATCCTGGGCCCATAATACTGAATTATCCTTTCAGGGGCCCAATCTGTATCTTTCCAGTCTTCTGTTTTTATGTCTTATGTTTACATCTCTTTTGTTCCTTTCTTTAGTTTCATCGTAGACAGTATACCTTACAGTTTCTCCTTGCTGCAGTGGGAATAAGAAGAACGATGGTTTGATGGTTCCTTGTACACAGGCCCCTGCCCAGTTGGTGGCAGCTACCGATAGGCCTGTGGCCTACAGATCCGACAGAAGTCAGAGGGCGTTTGCTAGGTGTTCGGTGCCTCTAGCTGATACCAGGAGCCATTTAAAGAAGGAAAACGAGGCCAGGCACGGTGGCTTATGCCTGTAATCCCAGCACTTTGGGAGGCAGAGGTGGGCAGACCACAAGGTCAGGAGCTCGAGACCATCCTGGCTAACACAGTGAAACCTTGTCTCTACTAAATTAAATACACAAAATTAGCCGGACATGGTGGCCGGTGCCTGTAGTCCCAGCTACTTGGGAGGCTGAGGCAGGAGAATGGTGTCAACCCGGGAGGCGGAGCTTGCAGTGAGCCAAGATCACGCCACTGCACTCCAGCCTGGGCAACAGAGCGAGACTCCGTCTCAAAAAAAAAAAACAAAACAGAAGGAAAACGAGAAAATGGGTTGTGGTCTGGCAACCTGGTTATATCTTTACTCGGCTTATTTTTCCCTTGCCACAAAGTTTTCTTTACCGTCTTATTGGAATATTGTTGTCCTAGACAGACTAATTCCGCTACTGGGTTTTTGAAGGCTTTTCCTCAGCAGGCAATGCACAGCCTCCTAATGAGAGGAGATTTAGGAGCCGGACACCTGAGCGTGGGACCGCTGGTTTGGGGGAGGTAAGGGTTAAGGTAAAGTTCTCTCGAAGCAATAGCTTTTTTGCCTCTCAAGGCCACTGGTTTCTCTTGTTTGTCCTCCGGTGAGGAGACATCGGAGACACCTGGGCTGCCAGCTATGTCTGCAGCCAACTGTGCAGACAGATACTATAGTACTCCGTGGAACCGTGGATTACGGGGAAGGGTGAGCCTATGGATGCTATCCAGCAAACATCGAAATATAAAGATGTGACTCCCTTGTGGGAGACAGACGTTGGTCTGGTTTAAGAGACTTCTTTCCCTTGACCCGGTGCGAGTCTCAAACTAGGTCCCAGGTAAAAGTTTAGGGTCATAGCATCCATGAGACTGGCCGTTCTCTGAGTCAGACCGAACAGGTTGTCTGGTTGTACACACTAGTCCTCAGAGGGTTTTCTGTGCATTCATAGTATCATACAATAAAGTCTTAACTGCTGTGTTTCTTATCGATGTAGTATGCATGCAGTGAGGGCGTCCTTCTATGAGTCCTTTTCCTTCTAGCATAGCTTTGGGGATCAGTAAAAGCAAAGCAAGAGTACATTCTTTTTTTTTTTTTTTTGAGACGGAGTCTCGCTCTGTCGCCCAGGCTGGAGTGCAGTGGTGCGATCTCGGCTCACTGCAAGCTCCGCCTCCCAGGTTCCCACCATTCTCCTGCCTCAACCTCCCAAGTAGCTGGGACTACAGGCGCCGGCCGCCACGCCTGGCTAATTTTTTGCATTTTTAGTAGAGATGGGATTTCACCGTGTTAGCCAGGATGGTCTCTGTGGGGAAAAGAAAGAAAGATCAGACTGTTACTGTGTCTATATAGAAAGAAGTAGATATAAGAGACTCCATTTTGTTCTGTATTTGAGATGCTGTTAATCTGTGACCCTACCCCCAACCTTGTCCTTGCAAGAGACAGGTGCTGTGGTGACTCAGGGTTTAAAGGATTTTGGGCTGTGCAGGGTGTGCTTTGTTAAACAAGTGCCTGAAGGCAGCTTGCTGGTTAAAAGTCATCACCATTCTCTTAATCTCAAGTTCCCAGGGATAGGCACCCTGCCAAAGGTCGCAGGCACCTCTGCCTAGGAAAGCTAGGTATTGTCCAAGGTTTCTCCACATGTGATAGTCTGAACTATGGTCTTGAGGGAAGGGAAAGACCTGATCGTCCCCCAGCCTGACACCCGTGAAGGGTCTGTGCTGAGGAGGACCAGTACAAGAGGAAAGAAGGCCTCTTGGCGGTTTTTGGCACTTGAGATAGAGAAAAGCATCTGTCTCCTGCCCGTTCCTGGGCAATGGAACATCTCGGTATAAAACCCGATTGTATATTCTGTTTACTGAGACAGGAGAAAACCGCCTTATGGCAAAAGGTGGGACTTGCTGGCGCAATGCTGCTAAACGGTTTATGGAGATGTTTGCATATGCATGTCAAGGCACAGCATTTTCCTTTAAACTTATTCATGTCACAGAGAACTTTATTCATATGTCTTACTGCTGACTTTCTCCCTATAATGATCCTATTCTTATCTTTATCTTTAAGATACTCCCTTTTCTTTAAGATGATAAAGATAATTATCAATAAATACTAAGGAACTCAGAGACCGGTGCCAGCGTGGGTCCTCTGTATGCTGAGCGCCGGTCCCCTGGGCCCACTTTTTCTTTCTCTATACTTTGTGTCTCATTTCTTTTCTCAAGTCTCTCGTTCCACCTAACGAGAAACGCCCACAGGTGTGGAGGGGTAGGCTGCCCCTTCAGTCTCGATCTCCTGACCTCGTGATCTGCCCGCCGAGGTCTCCCAAAGTGCTGGGATAACAGGCGTGAAACACCGCGCCCGGTCAAGAGTACATTCTGATACCCAGCACGGACAGAAAAGGTGTTTTCCTGGAGGGGGAACCAGGAGTACGGGAGGAACATGAAAGTGGACAAGCCGTGTGACCGTTGAAGCACAGCATCACAGGGAGGGGTTTCGGCCTCCGGATGACTGCGGGCAGACCTGGATAATATCCAGCCTCCCACAAGAAGCTAGTGGAGCAGAGTGTTCCCTGACTCCTCCAAGGAAAGGAGACTCCCTTTCGCGGTCTGCTAAGTAACGGGTGCCTTTCCAGGTACTGGCATTACCGCTTGACCAAGGAGCCCTCAGGCGGCCCTTATGCGGGCGTGACAGAGGGCTCACCTCTTGTCTTCTTCGTCACTTCTCACGATGTCCCTTCAGCACCTGATCCTATAACCCCTGGTTATTCCTTGGTTCTATTAGTAATGCAAGAAAGAGTAATATTAAAAGCTAATGATTAATCATGTTTATAATAATGATTGATAATTGTCCATAATCATCTCTATATCTAATTTGTATTACAACTGTTCTTGTTCTATTTTCTTTATTATACGGAAACAGTCTGTGCCTTCAGTCTCTTGCCTCGACCCCCGGGTACTCCTGCGCCCACGTTCCCGGCACTGACGCGAGGAGGAGCAAGGCAGCCGGGTTTAGGGTATTCACAGTCGCTGAAGTCAGTTGATCGGCTTCCTGCACACGTAGGGCAGCGGCAGCTACTGTGTAAAACAAGGAGGTCATCCAAGTGCCACAGAATCTAATTACCTGGGTAAGCACGTCGCCGGGCGATGCCGTGACCTTATGGCTTGAGTTAGAAGCCCTGTGGCCTCCCTTTCACTCGTGGACAAACAAGAAGAAAAGCTTGGTTAGTTAGATCAGGCAGCCCTGAAGCTGGGGCCTAAGTTAAGGTTTCTTTGATTTCTTTAAAAGCTTTCTCCTGGCCGGGTGCGGCGGCTCACGCCTGGAATCCCAGCACTACGGGAGGCCGAGGCAGGCGGATCACGCCCGTAATCCCAGCACTACGGGAGGCCGAGGCGGGCGGATCACGAGGTCAGGAGATCGAGACCATCCTGGCTAACCCGGTGAATCCCCGTCTCTACTAAAAATACAAAACATTAGCCAGGCGAGGTGGCAGCGCCTGTAGTCCCAGCTACTCGGGAGGCTGAGGCAGGAGAACGGTGTGAACCCGGGAGGCGGAGCTTGCAGTGAGCTGAGATGGAGTCACTGCACTCCAGCCAGGATGACAGAGCGAGACTCCGTCTCAAAAAAAAAAAAGCCGGGCGTGGTGGCTCAAGCCTGTAATCCCAGCACTTTGGGAGGCTGAGATGGGCAGATCATGAGGTCAGGAGATCATGAGGTCAGCAGTGGACGGCGAGTACCTGGGTGCTACTACTGGCCTTGGAGATTCTTTGTCATCTGAGAAATTGCTTGGAATATTATCACAGAACTACTGGTGAAAGGATGGTGAGTGCAATCGTCACAAGGATACCCACAGTCAGGGCCCAGATGTTCAGGCACTTGGCGGTGGAGGCATAGGCCTGGGCTCCAGTCAGGTCGCCAACTGTCTTCCTGTCCCTAGACTATAGGAGGAGACAGTGGGGACCAGGATCCCTCAGCTGAGAGCCATGTGCTGTGGCTCCCACTCCCCCCGGCTCCTTCCCACTCTGAGATCAGGGACCACCCCCTCCCCTTCCTCACTCTGGCTCAGACTCTCCAGGGGCCTCGGGGCTCATCCTCCTTCTGCCTTGGCCCCAGCACAGGCTGTTCTCCCCACCACGGGGTGAAGTCGCCTGTGAGTTCCCTTCTCTCTGGGAGAGCCTGGGTGCCAGTCTGGAAGGTGAAGGTGTAATTTCTGGTATTGGGCTGTAGGGAGAATTGCTCTGGGCTAGTGGATCGCTGGGGACAAACTCTGAGCCAGCCAGCCTGCTGAAGCCTCCTCCTAGACCTGCACTGGGCGGATTCCCCAAGCCACACACACACAGATCACACAGACAAAGCTACTGACGTGGGCACACACGGGACAGAGGTACACACAAACTCACACTCACAGGGACACACGAGTCCCCACCCCAGGCAGCTTCTGGGCAGGTGGAGCTCCAGGCTCACCGACCCTCTGAGCGTTCCCTGGGGCCACACGCACCTTCACGGAGTAGGCGAACGCTATGAAGCCCAGGCAGCAGGGGTTCATGAAGAGGGTGTTGAACAGGGACCAGACGACATGGTCGGGCACGGAGGTCTTGCTGCGGATGTGGGTCACGGCTGACGTCACACCGTGCTCCTCCTTGATCATGTCTCAGGTTTCCGGGAAGCTGATGTTTTTGGTGGTGACGAAGGCTTGGGAAGTGTGGTTCCTGCTCTCTTACACGACCGTTTGTGGAGCGACGTCTGGATGCTGGGGGACTGTCTCTGACAGGTCTTAGCGGTCTTCTCAGGCTCCCTGACCCGCTGGACTCAGGGGTTCTGCTTTCTTAGAAGTTTGTTTCCTGCTTGGACATTTGTGAATTGTGTGAGGGCTGAGGAGGGGGGTAACAAATTTCTGAACGTGAAGTTATACATTTAGGGCGGGCGGACGCACTGGGGGATAAGGAGCCTTCGGTCCACGAGCCCCATCAGGACAGCGTCACGTGACTCCAGCTTCCTCTTGTAGGGGTGTCAGAGGCCCCTGTGAACTTTACTAGACGTGGGAGTCTCCTCACCTTACGCCAGCAGTTGCAGGACCTCACTGTGTTGGTTTGGGGTTTGGGGTCCCTGCCAGGCCCCGATGGGCCTCCACAGTCCAGGCCCCACAGGGGGCCCCTCAAGCCCTCACCTCTCTTGTCACAGGCCTCCTCTGCTGAAATCTTCCCTTTCTTGGGGCTGCAGTTCTGCTCTATGTGGGTTCAGAGGCCCAAGCCTCCCTGTGTCTCCTGCTGTAGGTCAGAGACCCAGTGGCCATTGCTGCCTGCCCCAAGCAGCCGTCCAGGCCCAGGACTGGGGACTGCGGGGAGCACTGACTGAAGCGGAGGCAGTCTTGGATACAGGGAGGATTCCAGGACCTGTGGGGGCAGCTTCGGTGCTCAGGGCTGACACGCGTGACCCCCTCCTGCCTCCTTCCGGGGCCCCTTTGCTTTATAAAACACCACAGAGGTTGAGGGGACATGAGGGTCGGGGGGTTCCTGGACTCAGGGCCACACCCTGTGGGGCCTGGGCAGGGCTCTAGGGCCCCATTGGCCAAGAGCTTACTGAGCTTACAGCACTTTCCTCCGCCTGCCTCAGCGCCCCGTGGACAGGAGTGCAGCCTGAGCAGAGCAAGGTGAGGTCACTGGGTCAGCGGCTCCTGTGGCATCTGGCCAAGGACAAAGTGCTGAAAAGTTTCCCTGGAAAAAATCAGAAACCAAACTCACCTCAGAAGAGGCCCCTGCACCCTCCAGGAGGAAGTGGGAGTCATGTGAGGCCTGTCTTGATTGGGGCTCCTGGAGAGGAGCCCCCGCTCTCCAGCTCTCCCTAGGTGGGGGCTCCTGTTTCCCCTGCTCTGCTTTCTCAGGTGCCCAGGATCCCGTCCCCTCCCCACCCTACCCTGGATCCTGTCGTCTTGTCACGGCCACCAGAGACCTGCTCCCTGTGCCATCTCAGACCGGACTCTGGGGTTGCCTGCGCCTCCTCCGATCCTGCACCTCTGGGCAGCCTCCGGCCTGGCTGCTGCACTCTGGGGAGCTCCCTGGGGCCACCCTTGGAACGTGGCCAGTTCCGTTCTCAAACTGCTGTGAGGACAAAGCTCATGCTGGATTTTGAAGATTTGGTGAGAAAAAAATTTCTTTGTAAAATGTCACTATTTCATCAGTAGTATATTTTGTTGATGATATGGTGAGGTAGTATTTTGGATATATTTGTTTAAGTAGATTGCTGGCCAGGCATGGTGGCTCACTCCTGTAATCTCAGTACTGGGAGGCCAAGGCAGGAGGATCGCTTGAGGCCAGTGGTTGAGGCTGCCATGAGCTGTGATGGTGCCACTGCACTCCAGCGTGGATGACAGAGATCCTCCCTCTAAAAACAAGTAATTAAAATTAAATCAGTAATTTTTTTTTTTTGAGACGGAGTCTCGCTCTGTCACCCGGGCTGGAGTGCAGTGGCACAATCTCGGCTCACTGCAACCTCTGCCTTCTGGGTTCACACCATTCTCCTGCCTCAGCCTCCCAAGTAACTGGGACTACGGCGCCCACCACCATGCCTGGCTAATTTTTTGTGTTTTTAGTAGAGACGAGGTTTTACTGTGTTAGCCAGGATGGTCTCGATCTCCTGACCTCGTGATCCACCCACCTCGGCCTCCCAAAGTGCTGGGATTACAGGCGTGAGCCACCGCGCCTGGTCTATCTTCTTCCTTTCTAAGTAAGTGAAGGAAATAATGTATACAGTGGTCCATTTCCAAGACAAAGTGCCTTAAATCAGCTTAGGTCAGCAAACTACAGAAGAAACAGGATATACTAGGCCCCTGCTTGGATAGCTGATGCCTTCTTGTCAGTCTCCCTGTCCCTCCCCTTCTCCCTCCACTTAGTTGCCCTCACGCAAATCAAGGAAGTTTAGTCTGAGATGAAAGTTTACTAGCTTGCAAAATAGCTCGGTTCGTCCGTCCCTATCCGCCTGCCCAGCTGCTTAGGTCATAAGTCAAATACACAAGGGGCCCTTGAGCTGACTGGGATTGCAATGCATTGTGGGCTGCAACAAAATGCAGCAGGACAACCCTAAAGGAAACACCTAAAGCTCCTGCCCAGCAACCAATAGGAAGACAGTGACCCACAGTACTCAGCCTATGAGGAAGTGGGGGAGGGGCCTGCGCACTGGGGGATAAATGGCTTGTTCCGTACTGTGTGGGCCTGCCCGTCAGATGCCTGATCTCGCAGGACCGTCATTAAAATCTCACTTTTGCTGTTTTCCAGGTTTCTAAGTCCATTCTTTGCAAGTCTCCATGGGGTCTCTTCATGGCCAAAAAATGGAATAAGGAATAGAGGTTTTTTTGGTTTTGTTTTGTTTTGTGGGTTTTGTTTCTTTGTTTGAAACAGGCTCTCACTCTGTCACCCAGGCTGAAGTGCAGTGGCACCGTCACAGATCACTGCAGCCTCCACCTCCTAGGCTCAAGCGATCCTCCTGCCCCAGCCTCCCGAGTAGCTAGAACTCCCAAGTAACACACACCAGCATGCCCAGCTAATGCTTAGAGTTTTAATTCACAGAGAAATAAAGGTTATTTGTATTGGGAGAACCGGCTCCCAGTGGTTACGTGGGTTCTTTTCTATTTCCTAAGTGTCTCGGCTGGTTTGAGAAATAAAGGGAAAGAGCACAAGAGAGAGGAATTTAAAGCTGGGTGTCCGGGGCAGACACCACATGTTGGCAGAATCCCGGACGTTCCCCGAGCCATAAAACCAGCAAGTTTTTATTAGCGATTTTCAAAAGGGGAGGGAGTGCACGAATAGGGTGTGGGTCACAGAGATCACATACTTCACAAGGTAATAAAATATCACAAAGCAAGTGGAGGCAGGGCAATATCACAGGACCACAGGATGGGGTGAAATTAAAATTGCTAATGAAGTTTCTGGCACGCATTGTCATTGATAACATCTTATCAGGAAACAGGGTTTGACAGCAGATAACATGTCTGACCAAAATTTATTAGGCAGGAATTTCCTCGTCCTGATAAGCCTGGGAGCGCCACAGGAGACCGGGGCTTATTTCATCCCTTCTGCTTCGACTGTAAAAGACGGCGCGGCACGCTTCCAAGGGGGCAGTTCATAGGCCTGCCCTCGGGGCGCATTCTCTTTCTCAGGGATGTTCCTTGCTGAGAAAAAGAATCAGCGATATTTCTCCTATTTGCTTTTGAAAGAGGAGAAATGTGACTCTGTTCCATCCGGCTCACCAGTGGCCAGAAGTCTTTGTCTCTGGTGTTCCCTGAAGATTGCTGTTATCCTGTTCTTTTTCCAAGATGCCCAGATTTCATATTGTTCAAACACACATGCTCTGCAAACAATTTGTGCAGTTAACGCAATCATCACAAGCCCCTTCCTCGAGCCTCCGTTCGAACAGCCCCGTGAGGGGTGCCCTGACCTTCTTGCTCTAATGCATCCGCTGCTCTCCAGGGCAGCGACTCCCCCTCCCTGCCTCCCAAGTGCAGCCCCGGCCTCTTCACAGACACACACCCCACAGCGGTGCCTCGAGGTGCACCGGGAGGCCCTCAGTGCTGTTCCCCAAGCCTCTGGCTTTCTTCCTGCAATCTTTCTTCCTGGAATCTTTCTTTCCCACCCCCTCGCAGCTCGGCATGAACTTGTCACTTGAGGTGGCCAGTGCGATGTTGTGGGCATGAGAGGTGGCACCAAGAGATCAGGCGTGACTCCACCTCCCATTCCCACCTCAGAGGCCTGGCAGCACACGCTGGGGGCTCCCAACCTGGGTGGCTGGGCAAGGACGATGCACAGACCACAGACCCCACACCTGCCACCGGCCCACACTGGAGGGAGTCAGCGGCTGAGGGTGGGGCTGTTCGTTACCACTGCACAGCCTGGCTCATCCTGGCTGACTCGGGGCAGTGCTGCCCAGGCCAGGCGGAGCAGGGAGGACGTGGTGGGGGCAGCGACCACTGGGGTGTTTGGAAGGAGAGCAAGAACCTAATCAATGTGAGTCCTGGACTTTGAGGCTGGGCAGCGAATGCTCTGTGGGTGCTGCCTGCAGCCAGATGCGGGTTTTGGCATCATGAGTTCAGGACAGAACTGGTTGGTGGGTGAGCAGGAGCGAAAGGAAACCAAGAAAACCCAGGGGGCACTTTGTGGGTTAAAAGAGGCCACTGCCTTTCCATCCTGACCAGAGAAGGGAAGATTGCAGAGACCCTTGAGTGAAAGTTTCAGCGTTTGTGGCTAGGATGGAATGAAGAGCACGGCACCGCTCCCGCTGCTGAAAACTCCGAGGAGCTTGCAGCGTCTCCAGGTAGGGTCCGGCCAAGGGAATGGCCCAGGAAAGCCCTTTTATTGCACCAAATGCTCCAAGAAAAAGAGACTAAGGGTGTGACTCAGGCTCTTCAGCCTGACCTGATGCCACATTTTGTGCGGAGAGATTTTAGAGGGAGGGGGGCAGTGGGGGCTGAGGACGACCAAGGAAAGAAATGCAGCCCAGCCAAGGCAGGCAGGAGGAGCGGGTGTGACTCGGCACAGGGACCTGACCAAATCAGACGGAAGTTTAAAGAGCTGATTTGCGCCGGGTGCTGTGGCTAACACCTGTAATCCCAGCACTTTGGGAAGCTGAGGCGGGCGGATCACTTGAGCCCAGGGGTTCATGACCAGCCTGGAC